AAGCTTCAGTCCCTGCACAAAAAGAAAAAGATACCTTCAATGGACATCGATAGTATTTACCCTGGGAATATTATAAAGTTTTTACAAGTGGGATTTTGCCACTGACAACAATTTTGGTAGTGCAGCTGCTAAAAAATTCGGATGGGGGTGGAGTTCTTGACTACCCTCGGTGTCGAGATGGAGGCAGCTTTTGTGCCCGTGCAGCTGTATGTCAGAATGTTATGTTCGTCTAGCCTGCAGTGGGGTACTCAATAGTGAGTACAACCCAATTTAGGGTTTTCTATATGTACTCAACTGCTTGCTAGTAAACCTCTCTCTCTTCTTCATTCCTCATTTCTTAACATTCTATCAGAGCATCTACACTCCTGGCCTCTAGGCCCACCTAACTGCTTCCGCTACTCTGTGTGCTTCACGCCCCGTGGCGTGCCCCTCGCGCTACTCTTATCGGCCCGTTGCCACCCTTCCAGGCCTCTCGCGGCCCCCTTCGCGGCCCCGTTGCCACCCTTCCAGGCCCCTCGCAGCCCCTTCGCAGCCCCGTCGCCGCCCCTTTCATGGCCCGTCGCCGCCCTTCCAGGCCCCTCGCAGCCCCTTCGCGGCCTCGTCGCCGCCCCTAGCGGTCCCGTTGCCGCCCCTAGCGGTCCCGTCGCCGCTCTTCGCGGCCCCGTTGCCGCCTCTACCGGCCACGTCGCCGCCCTTCGCGGCCCCGTCGCCGCCCCTTGCGGCCCCGTCGCCGCTCTTCGCGGCCCCGTCGCCGCCTCTACCGGCCACGTCGCCGCCCTTCGCGGCCCCGTCGCCGCCCATAGAAACCCCGTCGCTGCTCTTCGCGGCCCCGTCGCCGCCTCTACCTGCCCCGTCGCCACCCCGATCGACCGTGTCGCGGCCATGTCGAGGCCCTGCCTCGCCCCTACCCCGGCCCTGCCCCAACCCTGCCCCGGCCTCGCCCCGGCCATGCTTTGTCGCCTGGCGCGGCGCACCGGGGGCCCGTGCAACGCCCCCCCCCCCCCCCCCCCCTCTTTTCCCGTCGCCTGTCGAGGCAACGTGGGGGGGGGGAGCAAGCGCCGCCCCTTCTGCCGCCTGTTTTGGCGCCCTGGGAGGCCGCGCGTCGCCCCCTCCCCCCCCTCGTAACCTCCCTACCCGCCGTCCCGCCCTGCCCTGTGTTAAGGTCTGGGGGTGGCGAGTGGGGGGTGGCGGGTGTGTGGTCTCCCCTGCTCCTCCTCCTCCTCTGTCTCCCACTACTGCAGCTGCCGCTGAGGGGGGTGGGTGTGTGGGAGTCGACGGAGTGGTGCTAGGGGGTGGGGTGTGAGTGAACCTAGGGTGTAGCAGGGGGTGTGTGAAAGGGGGGTGGGATAGTTTGGGGAGGTTGAAGGGGGGTGGCCACCGTGAAGCCCGCAGCTCCAGTTGCCCGTGAGACCGTTGCGCCAGTCGCCCGTGACCTCTTTGCGCCGGTCGCCCGTGAGCCAGTTGCTCAAGTCGCCCGTGAGTCCTTTGCTCGTCTGCCGCTGCTTTTAGCCGCGGAGCCAGTTACTCCAGTAGCCCGTGTGCCAGTTGCTCCAGTTGCCAGTGTGCCAGTTGCTCCAGTTGCCCGTGTGCCAGTTGCTCCAGTTGCGCCGTGTGCCAGCAGCTTCAGCTGCCGCCCACTACCTCCTCTCCTCTCATAGTCCCTCCTCCTCCACACTTGCCCTCGGTGATAGCCTCTAGCTTTGCTTACATTTGTGAACTTTAAACTGTTGCTTCTTGTACTTGCGCTCAGATTGTGTGGTGACATTGTGATCCACCCTGAGCTTGCTTATTGTGCTGATTACACCCCACTTTGGCTATGGGGGTGTGTCAGAATGTTATGTTCGTCTAGCGTGCAGTGGGGTACTCAATAGTGAGTACAGCCCAATTTAGGGTTTCCTATATGTACTCAACTGCTCGCTAGTGAACCTCTCTCTCTTCTTCATTCCTCATTTCTTAACACTGTACAACTTTGGTAAACTGCCTTCCTCTTCAAGGGGGGTGAGAGAGAGCCCCTTGGCAGTTTCTGACAGCTTCGTCAGATACAGGCCCTGTTCGGGAGAACATTGGTTGAGGGGGAAACCAGCACGATATAAATGAAAATGTAGGTTCGGGAGCCCTAAAATCGTGTGCAACCCCCATGCGACCTCTGTCGTCACCAGACCTCGCGGTTTCGAAACATTAAACTCATCAATACTCATCAGCGGTTTGAGATACCGAGCTGCCGCCCATAGCGCCCAGTAAACACAAGCAAAATATTCACAACTACACGCTCGCCATGCTATGGTAAGGATAAGATGAGTAGGTAAAGTTGTTGGGCAGCTGAGAGTCTACTTCGCGTTTCCCTGGGGCATACTTGTACGCTCGCCTGAGCAATGTCGCCCTACAAGTCACATCCAATTGTTTTTCCAATTGATTTTTGTCTTGCGGGGGAAACTACGTCTCGGCAAAGTGATTAAGGAAGGGAAGGAAACGGGAGTTCGGGATGTTTGAGAGAAGGTGGTTGTCAACACTGTACAATGTTCCGAGTGATAGTTTGAGTTCATTCCAATTAGGCTCTAAACGATTTCGAACACCGACTTTGCGGTCATCCTTATTTTCTTGCCCCTTCGAACAGGGCCACATTTAGCACGACGGACAATTGCGATTGAATCATCGTCATCAACGGCTCCTGTTCGCCGACCTATGACATTGTGTGAAGATTCCCGCAAACATCGCGTGCATCAGACTGTCTGATTTCAGACTTGCTACTCTCTGAAATTAAGCCACATAGGTAGAGAGAGAATGTGGTTCATTTGTGGGTAGAAGGTACTAGTACAACTATCGACAGAAAACCTATACCCTATATCATGAACCTCACTACAGCCTAGCGGACCTAACATTATTATAAGCATATATATAGTTTGCCATACCCTCTTAGGCTAAGTAGTCACAAGACCAATCAAGTGAAACAACAACACAAAGCTCAGGGTGGATCACGGATGTCAACGGGAGTTGTGGTTGGCCCTGTCCTTGCTTGGGTGGAGCCGAATACGCAGTCGGGTGTACAATGAGTGCCACCGATCAGCTGCAGTGGGCGACGCCGAGTTCAGCAGGCAAGTCGACGAATTTGGTAGACCTCCACGAGGCCACTGTTATGCCGCCGACTACAAGGTGCCGACGGCCGACTTGACCCGGTGGTCGACGAGGTGGGGCGCCGACATTGACCTGGACAGGGGAGTTGGAAGGCGCCGAGCTTGAGGGTGCCTGGTAGCAGGGCAGCGAGTAGCAGGGTGCCGAGCCAGTGTGGTCAAACGCTGGGCATCGAACAACTGGCGCCAACTTTGGGATGCCGGCCAAGTGCAGCAGAGGACTGGCCAGGCGTGGTTGCCTGGACAACCGAGTTACCCAGACGACGTGTGCAAAGGTTGTTGGGGTGGCTTCTGCGAGGCCGACCTCAGAAGTGGTATCCCGAGGTCGACGTGGCTGGTGGGCGCAGTTGCTGGCGTGGACTCTGCCTGGCGTCTGCGCTGTGCACATGACGAGGAGTGGTGCACCAACCAGCTGCGAGCACCTGCGAAGCAGGTGCGCCATTGTCATGCGGGTGCAACGCTGTGCAACCTACTTGCTGCAGCGTTCGTGTAGAATTCCACTACTATAGCAGCTTGAGCTCAGAAGCACGATTCCAACGCACCAAAGATTGCAGGAAACGGTCCACTATAGCCAGAGATACACACAAACATAGCAGTCGTAATGACTTGGATGATTCTGGTTTGTGCTCTCTGGTTTTATACTAGGACGCAATACAAAATAAAAGCACACAAGAAAGTGTCGACCAGGGTCGCACGTTGAATTTCGTCGACGCGAAATTTGGAGCCTTGAATTTCGCCGAGCGAATTCCATTGACTGGAATTCCGTAGACGAGAATTTCCGTGACAAGAATTCCGTCGACCACCGACTGTAACTTCCGTGCGAATTCCATTCACTTCGACACTTCGGTGTCGAGTTTCAAACCGAACGCGACCCGAGATCGATTTCGCCAAACTGTCCCCAATGTGTCCCCAAACTGTCCCCAATCTGTCTTGACAAGACACTTTCGGGACACTTGAATCGAAAGGTCTCCAGTTCGAAACTCGTGTGCACCATAACCAGCGCCTTAGCAGAAACTGTCCTGAATCTGTCCTGAGACACTTTCAGGACAGATTCGAAGGTTACGAGTTCGAATCCCAGCGCAGACATTTTGTTGCTCATGGCAGCATTTCCTTCTAACACGCCCCCTTGCTGTGAGGAGCACGCTGGATCAGCCCGGTTGCTGCACAACATCGGTTGAAGGCTGCCTTGTCAAGCCGCTTCGTGAAGAAGTTTGCGGGTTGCGCCGTCATAGGGATGTGCTGCACCTCCAACTTCTTCATGCGCACCATGTCGTGTAGCCACATGTGGCGACGGTCCACATGCTTCACGTGCCCCTGCAGCCCGCCCGCCTAGCTAAGCTGCACCGCTGCCATGTTGTCGACGTACAGGGTGGTGGGGACACCCTTCTTGAGCAGTTGAAACTCCCACAGCAGGAACCTTAGCTTGCGCCCCTCCTTTCCCGCTTCCACCGCAGCCACAAGCTCGCTCTCGGTGGAGGAAAGTTTGGTCGCACCCTGTAGCTTCTTGGCCTGCCATGAAATAGCAGCTCCGCCAAGCTTGAAGAGGTAGCCTCCCATGGACGACCGGTTATCCTTGTCGCCTGCATCATCCGCATCCGCATACCCTATGAGAGTCGAACTCTCTGGTCCTCCCTTGAACAGCAGCCCCTTGTTCGGTGAGGCAGCCCAGTAAGAGAGTGTGCAGAAGAGCTCATGCCAATGCGCATCCGTCCTGAGGTGTGTACCTACTGCAAGGCGGTTGGTCATGGTGTGATCGGCAAACAGCTCAGCATCCTCCATGACAAAGCTGGTAGAGGAGAGAGGGGTGATCGGCTGCTTCTTCGGTGGCGCCCCCTTGAAGAACCGCTAGTGCACCTTCGCCACGTATGCATTCTAGTGCAGGAGGAGTGTCTTGTTGGGGTGGTCGCACACAATCTGCAGACCAAGATAGCCTTTCGTGGATGACATGTAGTCCGCCATGAGGAGACCTTTGTCCACCACCTTGCCTTCAGGTCCGGTCAAGGTTACCTCGAGGTTGATGATGATTCTCCTCAATCCCCCTTCCTCCTCATCAGCCTCATCCAAGTACTCCACATCATAGTAGATGTCCGTGCCATAAGCACCTCCAGCAAGGAATGCAATGCCGTACATGTTGTTGTCATCAACCGCATCCAAGGCTGTCATGGTGGATGCGGGAAGCCGAACAGGTGGCATACCCTTGTTGGACCTGCTAGAATGACATGGGGGTGGGGGAATGGGCTGGAGGGGCGGAACCGTGGGTATGGGGTCCTTCCCACGGGTTGCCGTCGATTTCAGATCCGTTGCCTCTCCTTCTTTGTCTTCATCAGCTGCATGACGTCCATCCGCAGAGAGACCAACCTCTGGTCCCACAGGTGCCAAGCCAGCAGCTAAGGATGGACAGAGAGCTAACGGAGCCATGTTTGCGTTGCTGCCCGCAGAGTCAACTGAACGATCAAACGGTTGTTTTCCCCCTTGCACGGACGGCACTGGGATTATGATGATGATACGTGACGGCGGCTGATTCTGCTCAGGGCCATGGACCATCCCAAGAACCTCCCCCTCTCGCTCGTCAGGCAGCGGAAGCGTTTGACGAGTGAGTTTGGCTTCTTGGGAGGAGGCGCTCGACGTGTCCGTTCCTCCTTTCTCTAGGTCCATGCTTAGCATGCCACTGTTTGTGGCTGTCCACTGCACCACACCAGCATGGTCATTCTCAAGGTGAGTGTGCCGCAGGTTGAGCATCGCCTCGGTCCCCACTGCATATGTTGTGAGGTTGGCCGCTTCGTCATTCTCTTCTGGCGCGCTTGACACCACCTCAACAAATGTCTTAGGCATACCGTTGCATGCCACCTCAGCCGCCATGCCATTGCATGCTGCCGTATTGTTGCATATTGCTGCAGCCATCGTGCCGTTGCATTCCGCCGCAGCCGCCTTGCCATTGCATGCCGCCGCAGCCGCCCTGCCGTTGCATGCGGCTGCAGCCGCCGTGCCGTTGCATGCCGTTGCAGCCCCTGTGCTGTTGCTCGCTGCTCCACCCACCATATTGGTGCATGCCGCTGCAGCCGCCGTGCCGTTGCACCGTTCCTTGCTGGCCCCGGTTTCAGGTCAAGGCAGTCAAGGCGATGGCGGTATCGTGCCGTTGCAGCCACTTGACCTCCTGATGCGATGATGCGAGTGACACCTTCCTCGGTTTGCAGCTTTGCTCCCTTGTCCAAGAGCTGCCTAGGGGGGACCAAGTTGGCCTTCATTCCTGGCACAAAGAGGACATCATGTAGGGTCACACGCAAGCCGTTAGTGCCCTCCAGCAAAACCTCACCAATACCGGCAACTTCTTGCATAGAACCATCAAACCCTTTGACTGATTTCGTTGCAGATGGGTCGCGGATCACCGTGAACCACTCCTTGCAGCCGGTCATGGGTTGGGAGCATCCTGAGTCAAGGAACCACAAGTCCTTGCTGTCAGCCAGCAGCTTTGAAGCCGAACACGCGACGGTGAGTGCCACACCCTTCTCGTCTCCTTCAGCTACATTCGCGGCTGCCGTAGGCGTTGTATCTTTCTTCTTGTTGGGGCACTTGGCAGCCATGTGCCCCTCCTCATTGCAGTTGTAGCAGCGCCCCTTGAAGAGGGCTCGCTTCTTCTCCCGCTTGCCATCCTTCTTCTTGTCCATCTGCTCCCTTCCCCCTTTTCCTTCCTTCCCGTTGACCTCCGTTGTAGCCATGATGGTGTTGTCAGCGCCCGAAAAAGCAGATACATCGCTGGTGATATGCTTGTAGCTCTGTTCGATGGAAAGAGTCTGCTCCTCCATCAACACCTCGCTGCACACGCGTTCCACCGTCATGTCAGGGCTGGAAATTTTGAGCTTGCGGCGAAGAAATCCGTACTCTCGTGGCAGGCCCTTCAGCACGTGAGCGGCAAACGTAGCCATGTGGACCTCTTGTCCAATGGTCAGCAGCTCCGCTCGGATGGTGCGGGCCTTATTGCAGTAGGATTCCGCCGTCTCATCGTCTCCCTTCCTAAGTTGGGCTAACTGGGTCTGAAGTAGGGAAGCATGGAGGGCATCACGAATTTGATAAGTAGATAGGATATATGCCCATGCTAGCTGCCCGGCTTTCTCTTGCTGAGAGAAACCAGAGATGGACATTTGGATGGGTGGAGAAACACATCGGTTCAGCACCATGAATGCAAGCATTTGGCCCTTTGCATACTCCCTTTGTTGCAAGGGGTTGTTCGGGGCTGGGCTTGGTGCTGTCCCGTTGCAAAACTGCCACAAATGAGCACACTGGAGCTGAGGTCGGATGGCGCTGACCCACGCGGTAAGGTCGTGCCTTCCCTCCAGCAGCGGCGTCACGGAGATGTGTTCAACTCCAAACTTGAATTGACCGTAGCTCGTCCCGATCATTCCCGTGTCAATGGTCAGTGCAACACCTCCTCCATCAATGCCCACGGCAGTTGGAGCTTCGAGCACAGCTCCTCCTACACCAGTTCCTCCTTGCTGGCCGCTTGCAGGTGCTTGCTCCGCCGCGCGCTCCCAAACCATGCGTAGTAGACGGCCGTCCACAATGAGGTCAACCTCCTCATCACGCAAGTGAGGGTGGTGCTCATGAACGGACGCCTCCAGCTCCTGACGGGCATTCACACCCTCAGCGCTCGTTAACCACTCCATGTGCAGTCAAAACGAGCGTCGGCCACACCAACGTGGGAACGAAGTGATAGGAGGACAAAATCAAGCCACTATTTGGATCGACGCAGATAACGCAGCTCTGATACCATGTAGAATTCCACTACTAAAGCAGCTTGATAGAGCTTGAAAGCACGATTCCAAAGCACCAAAGATTGCAGGAAACGGTCCACTATAGCCAGAGATAGCATTGGTAATGACTTGGATGGTTCTAGTTAGTGCTCTCTTGTTTTATACTAGGACGCAATACAAAATAAAAGCACACAAGAAAGTGTCGACCCAGGGTCGCACGTTGAATTTCGTCGACGCGAAATTCGGAGCCTTGAATTTCGCCAAGCGAATTCCATTGATTGGAATTCCGTAGACGAGAATTTTCGCGACAAGAATTCCGTCGACCACCGACTGTAACTCCCGTGCGAATTCCGTTGACTTCGACACTTCGCTGCCAAGTTTCAAACCGAACGCGACCCGAGACCGATTTCGCCAAACTGTCCCCAATCTGTCCCCAAACTGTCCCCAATCTGTCTTGACAAGACACTTTCGGGACACTTGAATCGAAAGGTCTCCAGTTCGAAACTCGTGTGCACCATAACCAGCGCCTTAGCAAAAACTGTCCTGAATCTGTCCTGAGACACTTTCAGGACAAATTCGAAGGTCACGAGTTCGAATCCCAGCGCAGACATTTTGTTGCTCATGGCAGCATTTCCTTCTAGCAGTTGGAACACTGTAGATTTGCGACGTTGGCAAGTCGCTTCTCTGCAGTGCTGGAGTGGTATGAGATTTGCAAAGCTGAATAGCGGTAGAGTTGCGCTGGAGGTCGATTAGCATGCTTGCTAGTTCTGTTGTACTCATTGTTGCCAATGTTGTTCTTACCATCGTTGTGAACTTTTGCTAGTGAAACTATTGCCGAATTTCCTCTTGAATGCGCAAGTAGTGTGAGGGTTAGCAAACGACTAAGGAACGAACGCAGAGATCACTCCCACCCCGTGCCTAACTCGCAGACCAGCTCCCGTTGCTATAGTTATCCCCGCAACGAAGTCTTCATACAGTCTGAGCACAAGAAAGCGGCCACAAGGCCAGTTCAAGAGTACACAGACTATAGTAGGTGGGTACAAGTAGGAAAACCTAGAAGTGTTGTACCCTATATAGTCTACCCCACTACAGCCTACACAGACTATAGTATAAGGGTTTGACAGAGATAGCCTAGTTAGTTGTGGATGGCTTCACAATGGTGAACATTGGAGTTCCAATCCCACAGTTGCGCCTTCTTTGCATTCCAATGTGAAATGAGAAGGGCTATAAAGGCCTTGTTTGATAGCTTTGAAGTCCAGGGGTAACCACAGCCCAATAAAGTATTGCGTGGCTCGGTAGCTCGGTAGCTGCGTGGCCCCAGAAAATGTTTACTTCAAAGTTTACTCTAAAACGTCAGTTGTACAGTTTTCCCATAAAGTCGTTATTATATTATTTTATGGGTCGCATTTCTTGTCAAGGGTTACTCGCTTTTGTGCTGAAATGACTCGTGGGGTTGAGATTGCAGTTGGTACTAGTACCCGTTTTGTCCAGTAGTGTCTGTAATGCAGGGCTCTGGAGCTGGTTGTTTTACATGGTATGCACGCAGTTTTGAGTGTGAGAGAATTGTTTGTTTCCACAGCTGTCAAATCTAAACAATTGTCAAGCAAGATTGTGTGCGCATCAATTTGACTATGGAGTGTAGTGACCCTAGGTTTGGAAACCCTAGGGCTGACTCGGACATATTGTGATGTGTCTGTACAAAAGAATGAAGTGCAATCGAATAGGGCCAAAACAAACAAAAATTTCTGATTCAGCAGAAATGTTTTTTCGGAAATTCTTATGCATCAGACAGAAAAAATCACGCCATTTGATGCATCAGACAGGCTCAAAACCTCCGGCCCTGTTTGGTAGCCTTCCAGTCACACTGGGCCCACTGGAACTGGGAAAGCCTGCGACATGTTTCGTAGCCTTAGGCGTCCACTCACACTGAAAGGAAGTCTCTTTCCTGAAAGCAAGAAGTTACCATGCATTTCTTGGGAAATTACTTGCCGAAACTTTTACTGATGTACGTGGCTGCCCCACCCACAAACAAAAAATCAGCCCGCCAAATGAAAAACCGTCGATATGGTTAAAGAAAATCAGGAACGGGCACGATCTCTCATGGTTTGAAAGAGCGTGCTAGAAAACTTAATTTGACCCGATTCAAAACTAGTCTAGCCTACCACTCTGAGCGGGACTGCCTGGGTTGAACTGTGTTACAAACCCAAATGGGACTTAGCGTAAAGATCGTTCAGGGTTGATCGCAGAGTAGTGTTTTGCAGCGAAAGTTAGAATCTCAGGTCAGAGTGAATGTAAATGACTGAGTGATGCATACATCGGGTTTATATAAGAATACAAGGGAATACGAAAAGACCTAGGGTAGCCATGTACTCAAAGGGGTACATTTCTTTATTGCAACGAATTCAAACCGTGCAGCACGGGAACCCGTTTCAAACCTGTTCCCGCTCTTTTCACTTCAAATGTTTCTGCCTGCATCGGTCTTGGTCAGACGGTTGTTGCGTCGCTTCGACTCTTCTGACTCCTCGACTTCATACTCGGTAGAGTCAGCTCCTGCAGCATACAGGATTGCCTTCTCATATGGTTTTATATTGTAACACTCCCCTTCATTCCTGGATGCACAAGGGGCTGACTCGCTTGACTACTCCGGTGAGGTTAGAGTAGTGTTTGTACTGCTGACGTAGCAGACGCTTGGTGAGGAAGTCAGCTGCCATCTCGGTGATTGGGCACTACGCAAGGTCAACTTTCCCTTGGTCAATTTCGTCCTTGACAAAAAAATACCGAAGCGCAGTGTGCTTCGTGCGGTTCAGGAAACCCGTCTTGTTTGCGATTTTTATGGCACTCTGGTGTCGCAGTCAAGGCAAAAGGTAGGCGAAGTTGGAATAGTTCCTTCCTGCAACAGTTCCTGCAAGTACAGGCCTTCGCGAACTGCTTCTATCACAGCGATGTATTCTGCTTCAGCCGATGACAGGGCAACCAGCTCCTACTTCTGTGATTCAAGGAGATTGCTCTGGTTGGCTCCAGACGGAAAACAAAGCCAGTTCGGGACCGTCGATTTGCAGGATCAGCTGTATGATCTGCGTCCACGTAGCCGTTGAGATTGAAGGAGGTTGTCGTCCGCGTGGAGTAGGAGAGCTCGGTGATAGGTGTGGAAATGAAGTACTGCAGAGCGCGCTCTAGGTCCAGCTGGTTTTCAGTTACTGGCTTGCGAGAGTGCTGAGCCAGTTGGCTGGCGATGTACGAGAGGTCGGGTCGGCAGGTGACTGATGGAAACAGCAGACAGCCCAGTTGCTACTGGTACTGATGAAGTCCCGCAGGGGACAGGGGTTTGTTGTCTGGTTTGTAGTTGGTACTAGGATTGCGGTAGGGAGTTGAGAGTAGTGCGGGCGAAATGTTGAAGCGTTCCCCAAGCTGCTCTGTGTACTTGGAGGCTGACAGATGAATTGCTTCTCGCGCGTAGGTGATGTTCAGACCCAGAAACTGCTTGACATTGTGGTTGATGGTAATGCCAAGGTGCTGCGCCAGGTTCTCCTCAAACTGGTTAAGGAGTTTCTTGCAGCTGCCTGTGTACAGCAAGTCGTCGACGTAGATTATCAGGAGAATGCAGTCGCCGCTGAAGTGAAGGCGGTACATTCCCGGGTCGTGCGGCAGCTGCTTGAAGCCGATTTCCAAGAGAATTTTATGCAGATGCAGCTGCCAGAGACAATGCGCCTGCTTGATCTTGTAGAGGGACTTCTTCAGCTGACAGACCCTGGAGAATCCTTCCCCGTAGGTGTGTGGCTGCTCCACGAAGATGGTTGCGTCCACTAGTGCGTATAGAAACGTGTTCTTCACGTCAATCTGCCGCAGTGGTAGATGCTTAGCGGGGGCAATGGCAAGTAGAATCCTGACGGAGGTGTGACGGCTGACGGGAGCGAAGGTTTGATCGAAGTCGATGCCGTGGCGCTGAACGTACCCTTGTATGACCTAGCGTGCTTTGAAGCATTCAATTGTGCCGTTGACGTTGGTTTTCAGGCAAAAAAAACATTTCCCATTGAGCACCCTCCCCCCCTTCACTGCTGCACGATCGACTAGGACCCATGTGTCGTGAGATTCCAGCGCCTTTAGCTCCGCATCCATGGCAGCACGCCACTCCTTGGCGTGAGGGCCGGTGAGGGCCTGGCGCGGGTTCTTAGGTTCGACAGCTCGCGCGAGAGTAGTGACGGATGTATGCAGGCCGAGTAGTTGCAGGCCGGACATGTTGGTAGTGGTGTCTGTGGTGACTTCCACCACATCGTCATCGCTACTCTCTTAGCCGGGTGAGGTGGTGCTTGGTCCGACTTGGCGCCGCGATGGCCCTGGCATGAGAGCATCGTCACTGTCATCGTCGTCGTCGTTGTTGCGTGGGCGAGGCGGTACACTCGGATGCTCGTCGATGTCATCGTTGTCCAGTGCCGCTGCCGCTGCCTCGTCTTCTGGAGATGCAAAGCTGCGGCCGCTGTTAACGTAGCCGCGTGCCTCGTTGCGACGTTTGTCATCGATCCACTACGTCAGGGTGAGTCGCTCGTAGAAGAGGACGTCACGGGCGGGAACAATTTCTTTGCTGTCAATGTCGAGGATGAGCCTGCCTTTGTACTCGTTACTGGGTCCCAGATGAACTCCTCAGCGCGCGCTTGAACAAGCTTTCCAATTGTGGCTGAGGTCCATCGATACTGCACCATGCTCCCCCAAACCCTCAGCATGGAGGGGTCTCCCCTTGGGCCGGTCCACTTCATGTGCGGGGAAAGGTTGTCCCTGTTGGTCGTGGTGGAGAGGAGGTTGTGCAGGCGCACCGCGTGGTTCATGGCATAAGGCCATAACTTCTTGGGTAGGCCGGACTGGTTCATGAGGGCACGCACTTTCGTCATGAGGGTTCGGTTAACCCTCTCTGCGACGCC